TCTCAAATCTAGAACTTATTTGACCTACTACGCCCATACAGGTTCATCGCTCTCTGTGGGGGGCCAGAGAAAGAGGTAATCAGTTGCATTATTTTGCAAATGTGGGGCGAAAACGGGTAAATAAATGAAGATGTGGGACGAAAACGAGTGCATTGTGAACTCATGAATAAATAGGTCAAAGAAAGGACATCTTACGGTGTCATCTCAACCTTCGAACAAAATTGATGTATAGAATAATTCAAATGTCAGCTGAAGTCATTCCTATTTTTAAATTAGTAACATGAATATTTGGAGTGATTTTCTTTTAGTCGGAATACAATGTTTTATGTTACTGTTGTACGTTGTACTGTATTGTAAAAGGCTCAGAGCCTGTGTACTTTAATTTTAATCGGGGTTGAACGCTTTATAAATGTCATTTATTATTATTATTATTAGAACATCACTTTTCGTGGACTTATCAACGACAGAAGCCACCCACCTAAATGTGCGCTTCCCATCGACATCTAAAGAGACAACAAGAAGGATAATGTAAAATAAAGTGAAGTCGCGATGGTTACGTGCAAAATATTATTGGTACTCTTTCGACTCTATAACCCAGACAGTGCGGGTGGTTGGCGGATGCCCCTGTATGGTTTGCCCCTCTTTCCTATCAAACGTCAGTGCGGACCCATATCTTCCTCTACTACTTTTATTTGTATGTCACTCTCTTGTAACATCTCTAATCTTCGTCACTTATATTATTACCTATTTGTGTTACAAGTCGCTACTTCAGAATTATAAAGTTCTATCTGCTCAATACCTATTTTTGAGAAATTTGTCAGCAAAGATTTTAAGTTTCACATCATGTCAAACTTTTTCGATAGCAATTCTTTGAATATTATCTTGATAACGACTCCGAATAGTCTAACGATTTTGATAGAGCAGGTTCTTTTCCTCCGTTGCTCCTGTTTATCTGCATGGCTTCGCGTGTGGTTGAAGGGCCCCATTGTTAGGTCCTACTTTTTAAAGTTTCCCTCTGTTGTTTCTGTCTGTCTGTATTGTTTTTATTTCCCAGAACTATTTGACCCACCAACACCACCCCATGGGTTGTTTTTGTAGTTTTTTTACCTCATGGTCTTAGTAACTCAAAATGGCCAAAAGTTCCAGAAAGAACTGTGTACTTCTAAGGTAGAGAAGTACCATAAAACTCTTACAAAACTAAACCAACTAACACGATGACTTCACGCCAACAGTAGCTTGGTGTTTCCATGTGTTTACCCTCAAACCATGTCTTTCGCCTTGTGGGCCACGACCTTCAAAGCGGGAAACAGTAAGTCGTCCAGATGGTCAACAGACACTTTACCTCCTGGGTTGCTTTCCTTTTTTAACCACTTCCTCCTCACCCCCACCTCACCCCCTTCTCCCTCCTCTAATGGTGGATGCACAGGCTACTGAACTAAACTGAACTCCACACCAAGCCATTCCAGAGTCATTTGACTGACAAATTTGATTGGCCTGTTCTTTCATTTTTTGCAGCATTCTGTGGGTTCGTTCTCTCTCTCTCTTTCTCTCTCTCTCT